TACTTAGTTGATTGATTTCGGTTCTTCAACTCATATTACCAATAATATACAAGCATTTCTTTCAACTTAGAAATCAAAAGAATGTGAAAGATTTATCATTATGAGAAATTATCTCAAAACGAAAGTGAGATTTATCATTATGAGAAATTATCTCAAAACGAAAGTGATATCAATAGAAACTTATCAGTTACATATAGAGACAAATCATTTAATGGATCTTGCTGACATATATTATATTCCTACTATTTTTAAAAAATTAGTTTCTCTATCTAGACTTGATGAATTAAGATATTATCTTTTTTTTGGTAATAGTAATCTCAATTTTGTTTTGATTTAATAAAGGTTGGTTTTAGAATATTGTGTGATGATTTATATAGAATTAATTTGGATCTTAAGTTTATAATGATATTAGTGATCCTGTAATCAAATGTTAGAATGAAACATAATTTTAATAATAAAAGATCTTTTATATTGTTGCATAAACGTTTAGGACACATCTCCAAGGAAAGAATTAAAAGATTAATGAATGATAATATTTTGAAAGATTTAGACATTATTAATTTTGATGTTTGCATAGATTATATAGAAAGTAGACATAGTATACAAAAAAAAATACCATAAGAAGTAATGAACTCCTTGAGATTATTCATGCTAATATCTAAGGACCACTCTATATTCCCTCTTTCAGTAGAGAAATATCTTTTATTCATTTATAGATGATCTATCGAAATATGACCATGTGTATCTAATATATGAAAAGTCTCAAGCTATTGATACTCTTGAAGTGTACATAAATAAGGTCAATAAACAATTATATAGAAAAGTCAAAATTATCATATCTGACAAGGGTTATGAATTTTATGACAAATAAGATGAATCTAATCAGAATATTGATCCATTTACTAGATTCTTTGAAAAATGAGATATTTGTATTTAGTTTGCCTTACCAAGTGTACCATGGTAGAATGATGTTGCTAAAAGATGAAATTGTACTCTTCTGAATATGATTAAAAGTATGATGAGCTATTCCTTTATACTTAAGAGGTGAAGCTCTTAAAAGAGCTATATATATTTTAAATATGGTTCTTAATAAGTAAGTTCTATCAACTCTACTTAAGTTATTAATTGGTAGAAAACCCAATATGAGATATTCATATATTTAGGGGTATAATGTAGAATTAAGAGTCTTCAATCCATATGAAAAAAAAATTTGGATCTGAAAACTATTTTTGGATATTTTATTGATTATCCAAAAAAATCCAAGGGATATATATTTTATTAACCTAATCATAGTACGAGGATAGTAGAACCTAGTAATATAAGATTCCTAAAAAATGACGACATCAGTGGGAGAGAAAAATCTTAAAAAATTAATTTTGATATCGATGAGATATAGGTTAATACTCCTTTATCATCTCATATTCAAGAGATCGATATTTCTCAAATTGTTGAGAGAATTGATGAGAGTAAATAATAAAATAATATTAATAAACTTTCACATAATGTTGATGTATCTCTAATGGTCTTATAGAATAACCGCAACCAATAGTTTTAAAAAGATTTCAGAGGAAAAAGAGACATGTCATTTTTTATGATTATGTGATATATATATATAAGAATCAGATTATGACACAGGGATAAAAAAAGTTTTCTTATCATTTTCATAAGCCATGGAAAATAATGATTTTGAAAAGTAGTATGATGCGATAAAAGAAAAGTTAAAATTGATAAACTAGAATGGTGTTTAGAAACTCGTTGAATTGTCCAATAATAGTAAAAGAGTCTATTACAAATAGGTCTTTAAGATAAAATGTGACTCAACGAGCCATATCATATAAAGTCAGACTTGTTATCAAAAGTTTTTCTTAGAAAGAACACATCGACTATAATGAGATATTTTCTTTGATATCTAAAAGGAATTTATTAAGGATCGTCACGATGTTAGTAGCTCATTATGATATTGAATTATATCACATTGATGTAAAAACAATATTTTTGAATGGGGATATAGATGAGAAAATCTATATGGAATAATTTAAAAGATTCACAGAAAACAAAAAGAAAGTTGAGCTTACAAACTTAAAAAATCTATTTATGGCCTTAAACAAGCTTTTAAATAATGATATATAATATTTTATGATACTATTAATTTCTTTGAATTTAAAAATATATTGTTAATTAGTGTATATATCTGAAGGTTAGTAGGAGCAAGTTTATTATATTGGTCTTATATATGGATGAAATTTTCCTTACTAGCAATGATCTTGATTTATTACACAATATCAAGATGTTTCTCACCAAATATTTTAAGATGATTTATATGAATAAAACAATATATGTTATTGATGTTGAGATATTAAGGGATAGATCTCAAGAATTATTATGACTGTCTCATAAATGATATATTGATCAAGTCATAGAAAGATTTAGTATTTAGCTATATTCAGCTAATGATACATTTATTACTAGAGATGAAAAATCTAATCAAAGCCAATGTCCAGAAAAATGACTTAGAAAAAAATCAAATGAAGAATATTCTTTATATATACGTAGTTGTAAGTATATATTATATACTCAAACCCATACAAGACTAGATATCAATTTTGATAATAGGGCAATCCGAATGAAATTTTGAAAAGCTATCAAAAAAATAATGAGATATATATAATAGATGAAATATTATACGCTCATATATAGAAGATCATATCAGATTGAAGTGATAGGATATTCAAATATTGATTTTATAAATTACCTTGATTGTAAGTCCACTTCAAGATTTATATTCATGTTAATTAGAGGCGTAATTTTTTGAAAAAATATAAAATAATTATTTATTATATCATCAACAATTAAAGTTAAATTTTTGGCATGCTTTGAGGCCACAAATCAAGTTTTATGACTGTGAGATTTTATCTTAGGATTTGGTATGGTTGACTCAATTATCGGATTATTGAAGATATTTTATAGTAACATCATAATATTTTTCTTCTCTAAAAATGATAAGTACTCTAATGATTTTAAGCACATCAAGATAAAGTACTTGGTAGTTAGAGAAAGAATCCAGAAATAATAAGTATCAATCGAGAACTTAAACATCGACTTCATGATTGTTAATCCATTTACTAAAACTTTATAGTATAAAATAAGAATGTGGCTTATGTGCAAGCCATAAAAGATATAATGATGCATGTTTAGGTAAATGCTATCATTAATTTTTTACTTAATTAAAGTTATTTACTTTTACTATCTTATTTATATTTATGTTTATACATATTATAGTTGAATATAATAATATGATTATCTTGACAAGATAAATTGTAGAGGTCATTATGGACTACATTAGAAGAGACTATTAGTATTGTAATATATAAAATGAGTATGATATTGATGACATACAACTATTATAACTCGCATTTGAAGTTGGACTTAATGTGGTATTATTATGCTTATTAGACTTATTAACTTATTTTAAAATTCATGGCTATGTATAAAATACTTTTCAAATTTTTTCATAATATAACTAGGTAAATTTATTTTCAAATAAATTTTATTTTATTTATTTAAATTATATTTTTTTAATATCTTATCAATTAATGGGCAAAGCAGAAGAATATTATATTATGTATTACTATCTAATTAGGTAAGATATATTATAAATTAAATTAGATTTTGATGATGGTTATCAACCAATAAAAACAAATTTTAATTATGGTAAAATTTCTTAACAAATAACTTTGATGGGAATGACTCTCTTAATTACATTAACAGAAGTATATTATAATTTTTATACTTACATTATCTAATCTTTTATATCATCTAATGGCTAATTATATATCACCTCTGGTACTTGAATTCTATTAGCAATGTAATCTTTGTACTTAAAAAATTTATTTTAGGATCCATATAATTCTGAAAATGAAATAAATAGTTACATTTATTCTACCATCGTCACATTAACGAAAAACATAATATGTGACATCACATACTAAAACGATATGAAAATAATGAACAAAAAGATAATTTCAACATTGTTGGGATGCTCTACCACCCAGTTCACCTCTCGTTACGTCACTAGAATGCACAGGGCATGGTCGTCATCCCACTTGGCTCCTGACAGAGCGAAAGTGTGGCCCCTCCTCGCCACTAAGGTCATCCTCCTCATGTCTCTCGTTGCAGTTGTACAACCTAGCACTCGCTACAGTATCATATTCTCAAACTTCACTGTGCCATCTTCAGGATATATGATGCTCGCGTTGTCCTTCTCCATGCACTCATCGCCTACAATTGGTTCGGTATCAAGACTTAGATTAACGACCAAATCGTCTTTCTCCTCTCACCTTCTCTCCATTTGTCCTCCTCCCATGGCTCGCCGATCGTAAATTTTTTTGAAGTTGGACTTGTCACGGGTTGATAGAAACCAAAAGCGAATCCGATAAGCAACGGTAGCTTACTGATGCAAATTTTAACCCGACCGACAATGAACATGTGTCAATTTTTAGTTCACTGTTTCGTTTACGATATTTAACTCGATCCAATTGCCTTGCTGATCTAAATTAAGGATCATGTTAACGGGTCCGGATTCTGATAGGGTTTACCGGCTAGCAACTGTAGCTGCTAAACTATACTCTTTTTGGAAGAAATTGTCGAATCTTTACCTTTATAAACAAAAGAATTTTCTATCTATACTATGATATTTTTGTATCCTCCCATATTACACATACATGCAAGTCACACCTATGAATCATAACAATGAGCTGTTGTAAAGTAAGGTAATGGAAAAGGGACCATGTACCCATTGAAACAAAACACTTGTTCTCCAAATACAGAGATGTAAATCTGCCAATTTAATAGGAGGAATGGGCATCACAAAAAGGTAGAATGTGCAGGATTGCATTTATTTATTTTTTCTGCAAATGTTCAGACTGGACAACAATTTTTGCAGGTTATCTGAATTTGTAACTGAAAATTTCAGGACAATATCAAGAAACCAAAAAAGTCCAGGATAATAATTGGATTCAGGTTGATCTTTAACCAATTTGATGAAACTTGTCGCTTGAAGGTTTCATCGATACAATATGTGCCGAAAGGAACACTAAGAAAGCATAGACAAGATTAATATCATATCTCATAGCGAAAGATGGTACATCATAAAGAGCCAAAAAAAGAAAAAACAAGGGTGGAACTTTCCTGAAATTGTCATGATAGAACATGAACTATATATCGCACTGTCATCTTCTCTTATCCTCCAGTTTGCTGCAGTTCCTGTGTTTTGTGTTTCTCTTGCAGCTCCCAACATGGTGGGAAAATGATGCATACTTGTTGCTTTCAAATGTGGAACAAGTTGGGCCCCTAACAAAGTAGTCTTGAAAAGAAAACTGCAGCTTAGACCTTCCTGTAGTACCCAGAAATGCACTTCATCTGGCAAATAACAGTACCTCTACCACCATCTCCTCTCAGACAAGGAAATGAGCTGAAAACACAAAAAAGTAGAATATTAAGCTCATGACATTTTAAGACATAATTTGCAATCCAGTAGTACTTCCCAAAGCAGTCTCTCATATGGTAACACTAATGGAGTTTATAATTCTGGTTTTTCCTTATTTTGATAGCAAAACAGAAACCTTTTTACATCATTGCAAATAGATTACAGAAAAAGTCATCCAGAGGCCCATTCATCTCTGACTCCCAACAAGAGATACAATGGATTCACCTTGAGTTAGCTAGCCTATGAGCGTATGACATCAAGGAAAAATAGGAAAACTGGGTAAACACAAAAAGTTATCATTCTGTTGATACACAGGAAATTATGTTTATATGGGCATTGCAGTAAAGTGGGCAACAGACCTAGCACAAAATTGAAGATAAAGCCCTGCTGCAAGACTACACACTAAGCACACTTATTATGACAAGATACTGGATAAGGAAAACTGGAATCGCCAGTTATCATTTTGCAGTCATTTTGTCTCTGCTTGAGCAGCATGTCATTCAAAAAACTGTACCAATACGGCGGCCATATTAACCTGAGTCCTTATTTGAACGTAATAATCAGCTCATCTTCAAGCTGTAATACAAGGACCTCTAGAAACAGAGACAGATATTAAAGCAGTTGTGATCATGACAATTGCAGAACCAAGCAACTCCAGACTCTCATAATTAAGCAAATAATCGACAAAGCAGTAAAGATCAAGATTCATATCAAGACCACCATAAGTTCCATGTATCAGTGAGGACATAGCCAACAAGAAAAGCTACATCCATCTACTGGCAACCTAATAGGTTCAAATCCAATACATGGTCTATCAAAGATAACTGATGTCATAATTCCAGCTGCATAGTTTCCAAACATTAAAAATTCATGTTATGCATGTAGATACTGGATTTGTGAAATAAGGAGAAGGCAACATCACTAACCTGTCGAGCAACCTGTGCCAGCCTCCTACTGTCTCTGGATGATTCCACAACTAAACTAGATTTCTGAGGCTCCGGCCTGCATGATTCCACAACTATGCTAGATTCCTGAGGCTCCAGCTCTGAGTCATCTTTGCCCACTTTTCGCTTAGATATGTTTTCCGTTATAGATGTAGGTTCCACTTTGCCATCCAAAGATCCCCTCTTTCGCTTCCTCTGAAAGGTATATTTGAGGATTTTGTCACCTCCAACTTCAGTAGCACGTCCACAATGCCCGCTAAGCTCATCCCTATAATCATAGTGTGGTTCATTAATTGTCTCATTATTTTCTTTTGTAACAGAATTATCCAATTCCTCTGCTGGTATATGATCTGGTTTTGTTGACATTTTCTCCTCTAGCTCCTTGTCATTTTTAACATATTCATCTGAAAGAGCATCATTAATCATCTCACCTGTACTTGCTGCAAATGGTTCCTTCATACTATTTTCCGGACAAGTTCCATTGTTAGAAGTATGGATTCTATCAATATGATCTTCACGAGAAGCATTACATTGTTTTAGGACAGTTCTCCTGGTTGTTATTCTATTGCCATTTAAAAGTCCTGAGTTCTTATTGCTGAAAATCTTGTTCAACTTATTCCTTTGACTTTCTGTTCCCTGATCTTCTCCAGACACCTGAGATGAACAAAATTTCAGTGTCTTTGGATGCACTTCACTGCCAGTCCCGTGTGCACTACATTGTTTTAGAACATTGCTCCTGGTCATTATTCTATTGTCATTTGAAAGCCCTGAGCTATTATTGCTGAAAAAATTGTTCAACTTAGTCCTTTGACTTCTTGTTGTTTCCTGATCTTTATCAGACGCCTGAGGTGAGCAAGAATTCAGTGTCCTCGGAGGCACTTCACTGCCAGTACTGTATGTATTACTTTGTCTTAGAACAGTTCTCCTGGTCATTATTTTATTGCCATTTAAAAGTTCTGAGCTTTTGTTGCTGAAATTTTTGTTCAACTTAGTCCTTTGACTTTTTGTTGTTTCCTGATCTTGTCCAGACACCTGAGGTGAACAAGAATTCAGTGTCTTTGGAGGCACTTCACCACCAGTCCAGTGTGCATTATCAGCAGATATATCCACATCAGTTTGTCCAACCTTGGAATGAGTAGGATCCAGTGAGGCATAATGTTGCTTGTCATGATAAATAACACGTTTTGTGGGCCTCATAACGCGTCTTCGGCGCCGCATCTTTCGTCTTCTTACTAATTTTTCTACCATGACAAAGTCTTTGGTCCAGGGTCTTTCAGCTTTTTCATTCTCACACATTATCTTACCTTTACTATTTGGAACCTTGTCGGGGCCTGGTGTAGAAACCTTTATATGTTTAGTGTCCAGAGATCGATAGTGTTGCATGTCATGATAGGTACTACATTCTGTCGACTTCATAACATGATTCTGACAATGAACTTTTTGTTTCCTATGACATACTATTTTTTCTTTCATAGCAAAATCTTTGGTGTCAGACTTTTCAGATTTTTCGTTCTCACACATCAATGTTTCACTCTTTATATCTGAGACTTGGTCATGCATTTGTGAAGTGAGTTCTTTGCCAGTCACTGGATTCCATTCAAAAGCATGTATCCTCTGGGTATATCCACTTCGACAAAGCTCTGGCTCTTTGTTGCTCAGTATTATAGATGTCAAGTCAGGTTTGACAGCATAAGTATCTGATGAAATCAAATTGTTCAAGGGTTCATCTTCTGTTGCACCTTTGCTAAAGCAGCAGTCTGAATTAAGGACACTTATAGCTCCACTTGGAGAGTGCAGGGATGAGCCAGAGTTGTGCATGCTTTCCTGACCGTTATATTTCTCAGAAGGGGTATTGTGAACTGTGCTTTTCCCATTTAGAAACTCAGCTTGAATATCCCTCTTATGGTCCAATTCAGAATTCAATCTCTTCAGTTCAGATCTAAGACAATCAATTGTAACCTTTGCTTCACTAAGTTGAGCTTCGAGTTCTTGAATCTTCCCTACCTGAGATAAATTTGCCTTTTCAGATTCATGAATCTGTAAAGCCAACTATCTTTGTCAGTGAAATGTTTCAAAGCCTACTTAAAGAAAGAGGAAAAAAGTATTTAGCAATCTACAAAAAATCAAACTTAAAAAGGACCAGCAACAAAAAGATAAAATTTATTTTCAGTCAAAAAATGAGTATAAAAATATGAATTAATTATTGACTAGTGGGTATACTCATATACCTCTGACCAACTCTTCTTCCTTCTACAAGGGCAAATCCTAACTCAACTGAGTCAAAGTGAGCTGATCTAAGTTGGAAATGGACCAAGTCAAACCAAGTCTGACTACATTTCAAGGCAAGTTTAGATGGTAGGATATACATTGACAAGGGCTGAGGGCCTGCAAATATATGCTCATATCTGTATCATCAGTATGCTTCCTGAAAAGACAAATGAGCCAGCAACCGTTTTCAACTAAAGGCAATGGCTATAAAACTTGAGGATTAAGGTGAAAAACAAATTTGGAGTAAGTGACTCTGCTTTGATTATTATAACCTGAACTTAAGAAGCATAACAGCATGAAGCCCATAAAGTCAAATTTAGAATCATAGTTCTACCTTAGATTCCACAAAAGGATAAAGTTCAATCTTGGATTCCATGAAAGTTCAACAATTGATGAACTGTATCACTTTAACAAGACTATGTCAGCACAATATCTGAAATTTAATCATGATGGAGATTCAAGCTTGAGTCAAGATGGAAAAGATTAAATCTGATAAAAGCTAAATGACTCTTGATTTATCCTAGACATATGAGAAGTAGAAATGAGATAGTCTGCTCTCAATGTGGTAAATTTGAGCCAAAAATTAACTTCTCTTTATATGAAGTAGCAATTTCCTGACGATTGGCAAATAAAATGAGTACACATAATGCATCTGGGAAATTACTTAAAAATACTTTTTGCGCTTGTAAAGATAACTAATATCAATTAATTTGTAAGAATAATCAGAAATGAAAATTCCATCCTTGGCTTAGAGAAGAAAACCAAAATGCACGTGACTAATAACTACTAAAAACTGAATACAATGATGCTTAGATTATTTAGTTGTATCTTCCATGAATAAATAAAACAAACCATGTAGGAAACATCTAGTAAGGATGCTCATCATTTATTCTTTGTTTGTGAGGCATAAAATAGATAATATTAACTTCTATGCAGGTAGATACATCTGATATGAATGTCGAGGGCTTGAGGATGTCATTTTTCTAGAATGTTTGTGTACTTTTCTTGCTTAGCTTAACCACATTAGTATAACATTTGACAACTAGTTATGAGTCCGACCCAATCAATTCATCTTTTCTGCTGAATTAGACCAAACCATGTCATATGTCATGATGTCTTCTTGCTGCAACCATTTTAACCAAATTTTCTTTTATTGTCCTGCTGCTATAGCTCTGTACTTTCTTCCACTGAATTGCACCTCATGACCATTGTGCTCTAGTTCTCTTATTTTGTTTAGTGCTCCAATCTTGCCCTGTTGTTGTCTTATTTCAGGGAACCGAACAAATAAAACTATTAATACAAGGAGGGGAAAAACGGTTAACCAAAACAAAATTACCACATAGTTAAAGAAACTCATTCATCTAATTCAACAGGACAATCGCGTGCACTTGGGAATGTGCTTAATTTTGTATGTCACATAATGCGGGTTAAAAAATTTATAACAGGCAATAAGTAGAGCAAAGAACCATGAAAAAGAATTTGCACGGAACTCCAAAGAAGAACAAAGATTAAGTTAAACTTGTTTTAAGTCTTCTATGATGACAAGATCACACTCGACACCTATTTCTTATCTTATGGACTCTCCTCTCACTGGTTTGGATGACCATCTCAAATATATGGAGGTTAATTCAATGTGGCAGATTCCTTGTTTCAAAGGAGATATAATCAGTAAGATACCTTAATTGTGTGCGAGTGGGTACTTCTTTGTTAGGATTTAAGGTGAAACAGCATTGAAAAAGATAAAAGACACAATCACAACAATTACAGAAGATATAACCTTCCGATATTCTTATTAGTGCATCCTATGAATGATCAGATAACTTCTTAGAGTGCCAAATAATTGCTTAGTCACACAAACAAAATGGATTGCACCTTAAATTTCATTTTCAGATAAAACAGAAATGAGAATAATATTGATAATAGATCCTCGAGTTGATGTTTGCTTTATTCAGCATTTCAACATATACTCCATGTAATTGTGGTTGTGGATACTGCAAAAGTTGGATTGCTAATTGTCTTTGAAGAGTATGTGACTAAGATATACATTATACTTCAAATTAAGTCAATCAGAAAAACTCCATTGTGCCTAATAATTATTCGTTGGCATAAAAAAAAAGAACACAAGCTAGGTTGTTGCAGAAAACAATAGGGTATCAAAGACATATACAACAATTAGTTACTAAGCACTTTAAACAATAAATAGCATTAGAGACAATGCCTCTGAGGAAAGAGAACATGCTCATTGTAATTATAACCTTCATATAGCTCCATATAGTTTACAGTAGAAATGCATGGTTATGATGGAAAAAAAACACCAAAAACTAGCGACATGTAAAAACAGCTTCAACTTTAACATGCAAGCCAAAACTGTATGCATACAAAAAAAATATGGCAAAATAAACTCTTAGAGCATCATCTTGGTTGCGATGACTAAGACTGCAAGATTTGCATTAGGTAGAGACTCCAGGGACATAGGAAAAAAGCAAACTTAACAAAGAAGACAAATTGTGAAGCATCTTGCTAAAATTCAGACTTGAAGATAAATTAGATCATGCACCCATAACAAGAGCATCATCCTAGCATCCTTTCCAACGACCAATCAGGAAGACCAAGACTTTAAGAGGGAGGGGGAAAGAGAAAAAATACACACCCTCTGAAGCCGCAGCCAGACCCTAATGACCAAAATTTGGTAGCTCATCTTGACAAACAAGCGCATCAAGGCCGATATTGAGTATCAAGAAGTGAAACCCCAAACATAGCGACCGAAGTTAGGAGTGCGAAATAGGAGAAGCTAGAACCATCACCTTGGAGTCCATGATCGCCTTCAATCGGAGAAGCATGGCCAGTGAATCTTCCTTGGTGAGTGACAGGCTTCGCTGCAGCTGGAGCACCTTCCCCTCCGAAGCCAGAATCCGAGCCGCCGACTCCTTCGCGGTGTTCAAGATAATGTCCGCGTACGCCCTCTTCAGCGCTGCCATTCTCTGGAAAATTCCCCCATCAACCACACACAACACCGCATAAGCAAAATCATCGCAGAACAACCAAACATCGAAAAAGAAATCGCATCACGAAGATTAGCGGCAGAAAATGAAAGGCAGGATCGAACAAAGAAAAGTGGGTTCTTTTTCCCATGATTCGGCTCATGGGAGGGTACCTCGGCGTCGTCAGCCATCGGCGGTGGGTGGCGGTTGAGAGAGGGGGGCGGAAGGGAAGTGTTAGATAGAACGAGAGAGAAGGGGAGGAGGCGGAAAGGAGCGGGTTTTGTTCGGCTGCGGGTTTTTTTTCCCCTTCTCTTTCCGTTTCCTCCCCCTTTCAGCTGTGTCTGTTATGACGAGGAATAGGCAGAAACAACTCGTATTTACGCTTTTGTCCCCGCCGTTTGGTTGGGCCTTCGCTTACTGAGAGGGTCGCATGCTCGGCTAAAAGATCCACAACGGAGTACAGCCTTTTCCCTCGGAGCCCACCACAATACCGACGGGCCCCGCTTCAACTTGCCTGTCGCGAGACAGCAAACGTGTCGCCTGCGGAGAGCTCCGAGGCGTCGGCTCGATGCCGTCGGACCGAAAACGGGCGCGAGAAGTGCATCGCTCGGTTGTTGGACCAGACACGGTACAGCTTTCTCCACTCGGAGCTAGACAACAACAAAGTGCCGGGCCCCGCTCCACGGAGGATGCCATAACGTGTAGCCTGCGGAGACAAGCGAGGCGGTGTCCCGTGGTTGTCGGGGTTCACAATGAGCGGTGATGAGCTTGAATTTTTTTGAATTGCTGCAATCATTTCCCTCTTGCAATGCAAATTGAAATTATGATCACTAAAAGAAATTATTCATGAGTTTACTTCATTGAGAGATGATTGCAATAAGATCATATGGCAGTAGATGTTGACAAAATAAACGAATTTTAACTGCACAACAACAATAAACTTGTTAGCTCATATGCTTTCATGATGATGATTCATTTTCGCATCTCAGTAGGTCATTTGATGCTTTGGGCAGCCGGAAAAAGCAGCTCAATCTATAGATTTGTAGCTTTTAATGTACATTCTAGTGAGGAAGATATACAAGAATCTATCGTTTTAGAACTCACAGGTCAAACATAGTAAATCATCCCCACCTCCAAAGTAGATGCATAGGGGATGTTCACTGCATACGCCGGACCCCTGCTGTTCCTCCTCAGGAAGTCATAGCCGTAATTGATGGCGAGCCGCCTGACGAATCCCGACCCGCTCTTCGCCCTCACATAGGAATGCCCGAGGATGAATGCCATGCCGGCTTCCCGTGCCTCCATCAGCTCCTGTAGCTCCTCCCTCGTGCTGGCATTCATCCGTGGGCTTGTGGGCAGCACAAACCTCACCTTCTTTCTAGCTCTGATCGGTGATTGTATCTCGGTCGAACTTGAAGGACCTGCTGCCTCCCCTGGATCGTCACCAACTTCACACAACCGAATTCCAGCTCCGACGACGGTCATCCTCGCATCATCCTTTTCAGATTCTACTGCAGCACCGTTTGGCCCCGACGTCCCTGAACGGATGAACTCCGCAATGCTGCAAACAATGTCCTTCTCAAACTCCAAGTCATCCTTCTGCACATCACGGTAGCCGTACCGAACAATGCACCGATAAAGCCTGTACTCCTTGGGCCCAATTCTGCCTACAAGGAACCGCTCCTCTGGATGAACGTGTGGCACAGGGATGGACTTGATGCAGAGGAAGATGAGCACCTGATGAATTATGCCATGCATTTAGACTTGTGCATTTACTTACAAGTTATCCAGGAAACGATATCTAGGAAGAGTCGCATACTGCCAAAACAAATTTAACTCGAATGGTATGAGTATCGTCAATCTAAGAAGAGTGCAAAAATACTGAAATAGCTGACCTGGTGGAATGCAGGGAGATTTGTGATGAAGTGGGAGAAGATGGATGGGATTCCTGACACAAGCTCAGTATGTATCAGACCGATGCCTCTAACACGCACGATACCAAGAGAAGGGCCGAGGCCGAGAAGCCACTCGATGGAGACCTTATTTTGAACATCAAATTGATACTTCTTGAGCGTGCCGTAGTGCCATACATACATAATTATCATGAAGATACAAGAAAAGGCAATGGGGACCCAAGCTCCTTCCAAGAACTTGATGAGGGAAGCTGAGAAATAGAGTGCCTCAATGGTTCCAAAGAAGAGTATAAAGCATACTGCTAGAAATATGCTCTTGTGCCAACACAGAACTATCACCAGGGACATCAAGCAGGTTGTCACCAGCATTACGGTTATGACGGCCAATCCTGTTCCAAGAAAGAATTAAAGCAGGTTTAGAACTATGTTACTTAGACATGTGGTGTTCACAGGAATGAAAGATGATCGATATTTAATTCCCTTAGTATGGTTTCCTTGTGAAGGGTTTAGCTGTAAGGAAAAAAGGTCTATTTAAAGTATATTTTCAAGGATTTCAACAAATTCTTGGATCATGTACCACAAACTTCTAATGATATGCTCAGTTGGGTATGACAAAGCTTAAGGATAACTGAGGAATAAATTTTGGCAACATATCGACCCAATATAATGTATTGAGAAGAAGCAACTGACATAAGCATAGAGTAATTGGCTAAAGCTTGGTTACTTATCTACACGACAAGAAGTTTCAAGTCTCAACAATTTGTGGTCAATTACATGGATTCTCAGTTTTAGCAATTATACTACAGGAGACAACAATGATGACTTCACAAGTCATTCTTTTTAACATCAAATAAAAAAGCCAAATCATGAGTTCTAAATATGGGGAGAAATGCCGTGTTTTCAGTCACCAGAAACAGTTCCATTGGTGATTCAAAGTGTGAACTGATCCCAATTCTCATCCTGAAGTTCCCTAGGGTTCTTGAACCGATGAAGAGCTTACACAAGGGCTTACACGAGCAAATCTGGGCAGAGAATTCCATATTTTTTTGAGACCGGCAATGGTTCTGTTGGTGTTTCAAATTTAAAACTCATTGCAATTCTCATCCTGTGGTTCCCTAGGGTGCAGAAGTTGGAACAGAGAAGACATAAAGAAAGGACCTATACAAGGAGCAGGATAGAAGGGTGGAAAGACTGCAGCTATGGAAAAAGAATCATCTTTACTAGTTCTTCTAAGATAATCCTTCATTTTCTTGAAAAGGGATTTTGGATCAAATTTCAAATTACATACTGCAATCATAGACCGGTTTTAACTGACTTTTCTTTACAAGGACGAAAGATGACTTGTGTCAATCATGTAGCTTCCACGTTAAAGCGCATATATCAGGATACTCTAGCACAAGGATCTACACTTTGGAAGCTCAAAGTTGTTCTTTACCTGCAGCATTACCCATGTGCTTTGTGTCTCTGAAACCAATCGTCACGGCTAAGCACAATATCATTAATATCCAGTTGATCTCTGGGATGTATATTTGTCCATGAAATTTGGATGATGTATGAACAATCTTCACTCTGGGAAAGCAGCCCAAAGCAGAACACTGCTTGATGATCGAGAAAGTACCGGTAATAATGGCTTGGCTTCCCACAACCGCTGCAAGTATAGCTATACACAAAACAGGCCACCTTATTTGCTCTAAACAGAAAAAAAAAGGCGTATAGCATGTCAGTATGCTGAAAAGCATCATCATCCATATAGCATAAACATTTGTCACTAAGAAAATATATGAACTCTGCAAATTAATTACCTGGTACCGAGACATAGAACCCAATTCGATATTCATTTTCAATAACATGGTGTTTGGACAGATAAGCAGCTTGTCCCATATATGCCAGGATCAATGATGGATAAACCACAGATGTAAAAGCAATCTGCAAATTTGAATCATTGATTAGAGAGATAGTCAGCTCAAAATATCCATACATATAACCTTTGCACACTTCAGTGTTATCAGATTACGCAATATTTGATCTTAAAAATGAAATTTTGATTCAGCAAACATGTCTTTATAAGGTAATAGAAAATAACAAGCAAGAAGACGAATGTATACGACACAGTGCTAAGGTCACACTGTGAAGCTAAGATCTGCTCTCTATACATCAGATAAACATCCTATACCAAAGTTGAGAGATAGAGATTCCATGATTCTTTCCAGCTATGTCTTACCTTTATCGATAACTGCGAGAAATGCCCTAAGTCTGCATACATGGCTTCAGAACCTGCCAACGGCGAAAAAAGGGGAAAAAAAAAAAGTAAAACAAAGGGAATGTTAGATTATGGCATATGGAAGAAATGCAAAGAACATTACAAAGAACGGTCGCTGTTGTGCTACCTGTTATGCATAACAGGATCCCACCCAAGGACATCCAACCTCCTCTTTGGGTTTTCTTCACGAATTTGTACATGTAGTATGGAGAGAGTGCTTGATAAACATGTGGATTCCAATGGAAAATGTTATAAACACCTATAGCACTGATGCATAGAAGCCATATAATGACAACTGGTGCAAACAAGAATCCAACTCGATGTGTCCCATAATGTTGCAGAGCAAACAAACCGATTAATATGAGACACACAATAGGGACTTCTACATCTGCAGATTGACAAACCGTTGATCGAATCAGATAATCACCTTCATAATGAGATGAAAAATCAACAAAGCAAGTAATCTTATAAGAACACAAGAAAAAAAAAAGAGTAATTGACTATTTGCATCGCCGAGTAGTTTCTCGGCTTTAAAAAAGATGCCAGTGTGGTGTCAGCCAAGACAAAATCATGTCCTGCTCGGCACCTAATTCAGAAGATTGGGGCTAAAGGTTGAATCATGTCAAGTATAAAGCCTTTGTGTGAAGGATTACAAGATGAGTTGTTATCCCCTAATACAGAAGAATTAAACAATCACCATGAGAGATCCCAAATCACTTGCAGAAGCTCTCTGCAGATTGAATGTTCCCGGCACAAGCATTTTCTTATGCACAATAAAAGAAAAAGATTGCTTAATTTGTTTGGTGTTTGTTTTAGAAGCTTCCTTACATTTGTGGTGTTCCCTGGCTTAATACAGAAGAATTAAACAATCACCATGAGAGATCCCAAATCACTTGCAGAAGCTCTCTGCAGATTGAATGTTCCCAGCACAAGCAATTTCTTATGCACAATAAAAGAAAAAGATTGCTTAATTTGTTTGGTGTTTGTTTTAGAAGCTTCCTTACATTTGTGGTGTTCCCTGGCCATGGAAAGCTCAAGCCCTGAAACCGCTGAGAAGACTGCAATTTCAGAGTTAGACGATTAGGGAAAGGCTCAATCACATCAAGCAACCTGCAGTAAAGTCCAAGCCAAAGATGAGGCACTACCGGAAATCGCCGGCGTAAGCACGCCGTCCCCGATG